AATTTAGGTTGTACTTTTGCCCTTATGTTTTTTTTTTTAAAGTAGTTTGTTTATTGTTCCATGTTCCAACCAAATCACTGCTAGAGAAGAGGGGGCTAGTTCTAGGCCATTGGCCTAAAGGGTGTAGAGATAATGGGAAAATTGAGAAAGAGTGAATTGGTTGAATGGTAATGTGATGGGTTCTCTGCATAATTTGTTTGCACTGTTATCAGTCATATGCAGGAATCTCTCTATTAGATACACACTTGCACACACCGACATAAGTTGATGCTTCCCGTAGTGTATCAGGCTTCATATTCATTAGTTAGTTGGACTTTTTTTTGGGGGGTCTGACTTGGTTGGACTTTTATGATGACAAAACTACATTATCACAATTTTGAAAAGTAAAGTGTTTGAACTGAAAAGACCAATATTACCATGCTACCATGTTATTTAGTGAAAAATTCAGGATACCAAACTGAAATTAACTATTTTTTTTACGGGTTAGAAACTTAGTTGTGATTAATTGTTTAGAACTAAAACTGAGTTGTATTTTATGAAAGCCTTTTTCATGAACTTTGTAATACTTCATTACTGTATATTTGTGATTGGCAAGGCTTAATAGAGAGCTAATAATGTGCATTATCTCACTATAACCTTTGATTTGATTAGAGGCATGTAGACAACAATTTTGGCTTTGTTTATATCCTTTTGTTTGTTTGTTTGTTTGTTTTTTTTTGTCTTAGTACAAGTTAAATTCTAAATTACAAGGGATGGGGTTTCTCACACACACAATCAAGATGCCATGAGGGTTCGAATCTAAGATCTCTAGTCTGCAAGTCAAGGCATTTTTCCATTAGACTAGACCATGTTGGCTTTATGTATCCTTAGTTAAAATACTAAAAGGCTAGAAGATTTATTTACCTATAGTGTCATTAATTGAACAACTTGTAGTGTATAATTATATGTATTAGTAAAAACAAAATTGTAAAAAGTAACTATAATTGATCAAGCAGTGCATTGTTTTGCCATTACATTGCATCTACACTGAAATAGAATTTGGTTTGTTTTGGAATTTTGATGGTCTAGGATGGTTGAATGTGTTGGAAAATTTAAAAATATAGGAGCTTATGAATTTATTTATTCCAGCCTTTTTTATATATTTTTTTATATAGAAAATATGGTATTTTATTCAACCGAAAGGAACATTACATGGTAATAACTAGCATGTTAACGGCGGGCTTGTTAAAACCTTCCCACAGAAACAAAATCCGGGATAGGAAAGAGTACCACCCATGCTATTGACTAAACAGAAGAGTCAAACAACTTATAGGAAACAAACCAACCTAAACCCCAACCACAAAACCCTTAAAACAACATCCAATCACTACGTAGCTACTGTCAAGTCCTCCTATGATTTGGAAAAAGCATCATAGTTCTTCGTACAGAGTCAAAAACATACTATGGGTATTAGAATAGATCCAACCAATCACCCAGCCATTCAAAATGAAATGATCATGTGACTAATATGAAGATCCACATGAGAAGTCCATATATATACATATAGCACCCCCACTATAGAATTTCGCATATTTCAATCCTTACAAACTAAAATCTACTAAAATAATATAAAACTAATTTTCTATACATACATGGTCTAAAAATCGAAGGAATTAGAAATATATATATACATATGTAAATGAGACTAATAGAGAAAAGTAAACAACAATTCTACAAACCTCTTGGCATCCTTTGTCTTTCTTTCTTTCTTTTTTGGTTTCGGGCATTTTATCCCTCTTTTGCAGCTAATTTTCTTTCTACTAAACAAGTGAAGTAAGGCCAAAATCTGAGGTAACAAAACAAAAAGGAGGGCTTGGGCTAATCTATTTACTTAGAGTCAGTACTTACATAAAAACAAACCACAAACAATATTCCAATCCAAGTGGGGCCAAGGCAATCAACCCTACTAGGCATAAATGGATTCGCTTTGTCCATGCATACATGGTTATGCATTTGGTTTTGAAGATGATGATCAGAAGTGAATCTCTTGGATTTAGATTTAGGATCACCCGCATATGTTTAAGATCATTTTGAGATTTTATCAAGTGTTAATTGATGACCTGGTTATCTTGATTTCATCAGGTATCATGAGTTTGTCTTGCTGATTTCATGCTAGAAATTCATAGAGGTAATTTCGACAATATAGGCCTACATGTTCAATCACACACGAAGAAGCATTGACTTAAGCATCACTCATTTGAGTGAGCTAAGGTGATTCTTATTCCTAGTGAATCATGATACATGCAACCAAGGGCGTAGTTGCTCTGCCTGGAATCCTTGATGTTCCACGAGGATCCTTATCAGCTAGAGAACAGCAGTACCTAAATGATTCGAGCAAGGTTTAGGAGAGGGTTCCATTTGAAAAGTCTTGCACCTTAACGTCTAGTCCCGTGGGAATGGACACCATTCCCGTGTTTGGTAACGCTAAGAAATAAGGACCAGGAATGACCACTTTCTCTTATTCCCCATGTTTGGTTTGTGCAACATTGGGAATGGAAAGTTGTTGAGTTTTCTAATAATACCCTTTATTTTTTATTTTTCAATAATGCTATTTGTACCACTTTGATGACTACCTCTCTAATAAAAATAGGCCCCATCAGTGTATGTGAGACCCACATATATTAGAGAGGTGGTCAATAAAGGTGGTACATATAGCAGCATCCTTATTTAAAAAGTATAATGAAAGGTGATATTTAAAATTAGAATAAGGATAAGTTAGTCTAAAAAAAATTGTAATAAATATGCTTTCCCAAGTGGGGGTAAAAAGATTTTCA